TTCCAGTTCTAGATCATAATGCTTCTGGAACAAGGAAGGGTTGGGGAGGAACGTTTCCAAGGAGGACTCTACATCAAGGAGCACTGCTCATGGGCTTGCATTCAAGCGGATGACAGTATGGTCTGTCTTTGCAGGTGTCCAACCAAATATAGGTGTTCAACTTGCAGTACAACTCCTTGCCTTTGGAAAAGACTGCCGATGTTCCCTCAGCATTTGAACGTTCATTTCTCATCCTGATTGAGATGAGCTCTTGTTTTGCAAAGAGCCAATCTTACATCGGTCCTAGTAGCAGGAAAGTGCCATGGCAAACTCGTAACAGACATAGCTGGAAGACTCGTATTTAGACTAAACCTGGATGACTTATTTTCTTCTCAAGATAGTCTTAGTATTTTCTGCCTGAATTTTGCACTGCTTATTGAATTATAATGGAGCTTCAGATTCTCCAGGCCTCCTCTAGGCGTCTCTCAGTAGACTAGGCTGCTGCACTTTACCCAGAGTTTTTTTTCTTGCGTTCAGTGCAACTTGGTTTTGACTCACTGACCTATAAGGCGTAAAAAACGTGTGGTGAAATCCCACAGCCCTTACTCCAGAAGAGGGGGATGTGTGGCCTGGTTTCAGTTCTAATTTGAAAAAATGCATTTGAACCCAAAGCGAGTCACTGAAAATTCAAGAGCATGGAAAAAACAGCAGGAAGGGTGAATTCCACGGCACGTTTGTGTGTGTTGTGCCTCAGAGTCCAATTAGGGAAGGGGAAGCTCCTATCTGAGGTGCATTATAAGGATATAATGACCTCTCATGAGTACTGAGGTGGTTTTAAAGCACTTTCCAGTCTTGCATGTAAAGTAGCAGAGATGCAGACTTGTCAGTGCAGCATAATCTGGCACTCATCACTAAAATAAACTCTAGGACTACTGGACTCTCTTTAAGACATGCAAGATGGAGCTAATGGAGGCTTCTTTCACTACCTCTCAGCTCAAGACAATCTATTAAACACATATTAGAAGGAAAAACAAACTCTTCAATGAAAGAAAAAAAACAAGCTACATTAAGTAGCTGAAAGTGAAGAATGAGAATGGTCTTTTGAGTTGTCTTGATGTCAGCCTGGAAACAACTAAAATAATAGTTTTTCTACAATAAGTGGCTTACAAAAGCAAAGTTTTGGCTATCTGTGCTACTGAGACTTTTATAAATTTGGGGGTCTAGGACTACTTTTTAAAGGAAAGGAGCTGGGGATAGAGAATAGGAAGGGAAATCAGAGATTTCATCAAAATGTGCCTCCATGTCTAGTGCACAAACGGGCTGAAGTACAAAGTGGTCCAGTCTCTGCAAGCCCTTGAAGTATTTTTCAACTCTGACAAAAAGACAACCGTGGAAAACATTTCACAGTGGCTTGTAAGTGCTAGTGAGTGTAATATTACAGTGGGAAAAGAAACATTTTTCCAAGAATGGATCATGGCAGGACACAAATTCCTCAAACGTAGTACCTCTGAGGAGAGGGTGGTCAGTCTCACTGTGTTCCCAGTTTCTTGAAGCAAAGTTTACATACTATGGATAAATAAAAACACATATTGAATGGAAATCCAGTTCAGCAGCAGAGAAACAAAACTTCCTGATCCCTTGTCTATCCCAGCTTCCTGCTTTTTCCTTTACAGAAAAAAAAAAAAAAAAAAAAAACAGGGAAGTTCCTCTGCCCCGGCTGGCATTTCCACTGTCTTTTAACTACTGCTGAGGTTTAGGATCTCTTATCCAGATTGTCCTAAGTATACAAAAGAAATTATTCTCCAACTCACCATCATGTCACAAGCCACTACACACCTAACACACACACGTGCACACACACACACTATAGCTAAACATTCTTGCACTATAGGATTAATCCCCCTTCTTATTTTTCTTCCTTTTTTCCCTTTAACTAGAGGAAAGCTCTACCCTTACAAACAGGTGGGGAACCAAATCTTTAAAAGCTAGTTTGCAGTAAAAGAAATGCTGCAGAATCTGAGCTATAGTTAACAAATTTTGCGTTTTCTAAGACAAATGAATTTCTTCCTTCATTACTTTGCCTGGTTTGAAGTAATTTAGAGAAAGTGCAAGAGGCTTTTTAACATGGAGAAACCCTAACTTTTTCCACCCCTTTCTCCTCCTGATCAGTAAATGGAGAAGCTAAGGTGGAACAGTCATCTATGGATATAGACTATGCTTTGGTGACTTCTGTTTGATAGCTTCAAAAGTCAGAATTCAGGTATTTTGTATATATAAATATATATAAATATTTTTGCTTATTTATGGAATGCTTGTGCATGTTTAGGGCACCAGCTCAATGTGATGCAGGATGGTTAAGGCTAAGGAAATTAAATTCATTGCAGAGCTATTATTTTTGTCTTTTCTCCTTTTGAAAGGAGAATAAAGCATCTTCCCTGTAATAGTCAGCCACTGTGTAATCCCCTGTCTGCACCAATTCTAGGGAAAACTACTCAGGACCCTGTCCCTGAGGCAACAAGCTCGGACCTCAATTTTAGCTCAAGTAATCCATGTGATTGACAGAACAAGGTAGTGGAAAACTAAACCTTCCAAGGCCTTGGACCTACTGTCACCTGAAAAAGAAAAGGTATTTTCTGTGTGCCACTTCTACGCCTCCCAGAGGATCACGGAATCGTGATGAGACGCCTCAGGCAAGCACGGAACACGTTTTGGCAGGCACGGCCTGCGGCAGCAGCCCC